CTAACATTTCTCCTGCTGGAGCGGCGGCTGTCGATAGCCGCGGAAGCGTCCTTCAGCCGCTCACTTAATCAGAGGGATCAGCCAAGATCCGTCTGGGCACGCCTTCCACCCAGAAGCCCCGAGGTCCCCTCTGCAGGTGGCGAGCCAGCTGCCCGGTGAGCACCAAGTGGGCTTCCCGAATCGGCTTGAGCAAACAGTTTGTCCAGAGCAGGAAAACAGATGTGGCAAGGGCACGCTGCTCCCCAGGGTCAAGGGCCCGCCGCTCCCCAGGGTCAACAGGCAAAGCCTCCACAGTCACACAGCTGGAGCTGGAGCTGGAGCTGGAGCTGGAGGCCCACCGGTCTGCTGGTGGCATGGCCCCAAGCACCTCACCAAACACTCTAAGCCTCTGAGTCTGGGTCAATGAAATGGGGGTAAAAACACTCCCCTCCCAGGCTCGTGTGGAGATGAAATGTGGAAGAAGCAAAGGGTCTGGCATCCATCCACTCATTTCAGCGTGGCCTGGCCCCGGTGAGCACTCAGCCATCTGCCCTCCGGTGTCCTGGCAGCGTCTCTGTGGTGGGGCCCAATCATGATGCAAGAGCGAGGGGGGCACGGGAAGACCCTTCTAGGAAACCAAGAGAAATGATCATTTATGGGTCCAGACCAGTGGGCCACTCATTTCCATGCGCCATAACGCCCTCCCCTCCCCAAAAGACAGGGCCACCCAGAGGAGCAGGAGCCAGCCAAGGGCTGAGGACAGCAAAGTTGCACGCAGTGGGGTCCAGTGCAGAGGACACCCTCCCCATACAAAGGGCACATGCCGTCCCATCACGAGAAGGAAGCTGCTACCCCACCTACGGGCCATGTAGTCATGGAAAAGCGCGACGCGGGAGAGAAGCTGGGACTTCCTCCCGGCCTGCCCGTCCACACAGGGAACCCGCAGGAACAAGTCGCTGTCTCCTACCGTCTGAAAAGCCTCACGGGGCAGTGATGGAGGGAGGGAAGGGGCACCCTTTGCTGAGTGCCCACCATGTGCTGGGCATTCTGCAGAAAGCCCTGCACACCTCACCTCAGCTCTCCCTCAACAGCCCACCAGCCAGGCTGTCAGCCCCTCCCACAGACGCAGAAACAAGGCAAAGGGACCCGCCGAGGACACTCGGCCGCCTCTGCACCCCACCCACGCTCTGGCACACGTGTGCCCCCAGCGCTGGGAAGGGTGTCCCAGACGGGCTGGCGCACAGTGGTAGAGCTGACGGTGGCACAGGAAGAGCAGGGGGTCTGCCTAGCCAGGGCATGGGCTCCAGGGGGAGGACTGCCTCCTTCACCTCAGAGGCCACTACAACCAGGCTGGGGCGACTCGGGGGCTGGTCTGTGCTAGAAGCCACACCGCCTGAACCTGAGCGAGCCCGCCAAGGACGGGGAGGAGACGGGCTGATGTGGCGTGCAGGACGCTGACTCATAAAGCAGGCGACGTGTGGGTCCTGGTGGAACTGGCCGGCGTTCCCTGAAGCCGCCTCAGCCTAATGCACCAGAGACGTTTTGTTAGGAAGATTACAGACTGAAACGAGAGCATCAAAAATAATTAATCTGTGAGCGGATTTTATTTAAGTGTTGATTCATGGCTGCTCTATAAGCCAGTGGCCCGTCAGAACTATAAATTAACGAGATAAAATGTGGCTGGACCTCCATATTTCAGGCCGGGTATTGACGTTTTAGAATCCACAGATTTTTAACGGTATTGATTGAGGACACCAGGATAAATGGTCTTGGCGCCAAATTCCCATTAACGACAATGGGCACCGAGTGACTAATTCCCGGAGCACTGCGGAGAGGACGCCCTGCGTTGCCTTCTCCTGGCAGGGAGTTCTAATTAGATTGAAATGAAAAAGCCAAATCACCAAGGGCAGAGCAAGTGAGGAGGGAGAGCACTCAGTGACGAGAAAGGGCAGGACATGGGACCAGGCCGAGAGCCAGAGGCGCTGCAGACACCCACCTGACTCGGCTGAAGAGAGCACCAGCACCACCCGAGTCAGGGGATGGGTGCAAACAGGGCGGAGCACCCACCCCACCCTGACGGCCCCTGGTGTTTGACTGCCCGGCAAGGGCCAGACTCAGCTCTGTCTCGTCCACCAGCCCTGGCTCCATGGTGGACCACAAAGACCACCGGGACAGGCCTCAGTCCTAAGAGCTCTAGCCAGGGAGACGGACATGAAAACCAACAACCCCCTCAGCCAGAGAGGCCCCATCTAGGGGCTGAAACCCAAACCCCTCATCCCTACCCGCCCCCCCAAGGGACAAAGGACATCCAACATGCTCACCACTGTAGCCCAGCACAGGTCTTGTTCACAGTAGGTGCTCAATAAGCGCCGAATGAAGGAAAGTGGTCCTTTAACCCAGGTGGTTCGTGCCATGCCCCGAAGAGGGGGTGCATGGAAAAGTCCCCATCACCTCCCAGACTAGATGGCAACGCTCTGAGGGCAGGGCCATGCCCTCCCTCTGCCACTGGGCACACCACAGCTAGCGGGGCACACAGGGCGGGGCCAGACAGCTTCCCTCCAGCCACAGCTCCACCAACAGGGGCCAGGCATCTGCCTCCCCTCCTCGGGCCCCAGACACACCCAACCAGCTGCCGCCACCAGGAAACCTGCCCGGAGTGCTCCAGCCTCAGCGGCAGCCTCCTACCGCCACCTGCTGTGACAGTGCCTGACTTATCAGGCAGGAGGACTGAAAGTCTATAAATTTCAGAACCACCCCCCCCCACTCACACACGCATACACACACACACACACACACACACACACACACACACTCACACACACACACCAACAGTGTCTGTTTATCTGTTTAACATCTGTTAATTGAGAAGATAGAGCTTGACAAAGGGCCACTAGGAATCCAATAATGTTATCAAATAAACTTGTATTGGATTAACCCGGCATCACCAGGCTATGAAAAGCATCACCTCACTCCCCAGGCGGGGTGGGTGGGCAGCGGCGCCCAGGGTCCTTAGCGACCCTGCAGTGAGGAGCAGCGCCTGAGGAATGTGCATCCCACCGACCTGAACTTCATGACACTCAGGCTCCATTTCTGCACCCAGATTCAGACCCCCCCGCTCCCTACACCCCACATGTCCACTCATGCCAGACAGTTCATGCTCCTGTGACCACTCTGTCCTTGCTGCTCTGTCTGCTAGAACCCACTTTTCCTCCCACTCAGCCACGCCCCTGCACCCTGATTCTCTGCCCCTGATTCCTGCCTCAGCTCAGGTTCCTCTTCCCCCAAGAAGTCCTCCTTGATCTTCCAGGCTAGACATTCTCATAGCTCCTGTGTCTCACTGCCTCACTGTGGCCTGGGTTCTCTCTGCACTCCTGTGTCTCCCAGCAGCCAGGAGCTTGTCCAGGGTGGGTCCTGGGTCTTGTTTACCCCTCTGTCTCCGATACTGAGCATGGCTTATTGGACGCACAGGCCACAGAGTGCAAGGTCAGGTGGAAGGCTCGGAGCCTGGCAGGCCTGCATGCACCCTGACTCTACCTCCTGCCTCATGCCTCTGGATCAGGGTGTGAAAAAAGGATTCTGGTGGCAGCAGCCTCTAAGGGTGAGTGGGGCCTAAAGGAGGCCCATGTGTAAGTCCTGGCACGCAGTGGGTACTCGGTGACAGTACCTGCTGCTGTCATCACTGACCCAATCGGCGCCGTCACCAAGTGGCACCAAACTCCCTGAGCCCTGGCTCCCTCCTCAGCCCTATGGCTCCTGGTGAGACCACAGACGGTCAGGGAGACACTCTGCTGAGAAGAGCCACGCCGTCCAAGTGGCCCTGCGGAAAGGGCACAGGCTCTGCAGTTGCACAGACAGGGCTCAAGTCCCCATATGACACCCACCAGCGGGAGGCCCTGAGCAAGCTCCTCATCCCGTTAGCCTGTTTCCTCACCTGTGAAATGGAGAAATAATCGCGGGCAGCAGCCGAGGCGCAGAGCGACATGTCATGGGCACAGGCCCAGCTGCTGACACGACCGCCGGTCACGTGACCACCCTCCCTGAGCGCATGGGGCTCAGTCAGAAGCGCTGCAAGGCTGCCCCTCTGCAACCCAGGCACGAGGACACTCGAGGGGGTACAAACCCCACAACTGCCCCCTAACCACCACTGCCTGCCCTCCCTGCACCTCCTCCAAGCTCCTGGGGAGAAGCTGGGTGTCCAACCCCAAAGTTAATACCCCCACTTGCTGGGCCCCAGGAGAGGCACAGACCCCAGCACCACCACTGCTGAGCCAGGCAGGCGGGGGCTGCCCGAGAGTTCAAGGGACCCCCAGGGCCTCCCCTCTTGGCTCTGGCAGTGATGCCCAGCAGAAGAGTGACCCAGAAGCCCAGGGAGGAGAAGGCAGCACCCCGGGGGTCGGGGCAGAGGTCTGAGCCCAGCTCCGCACTCCCTGGCCTGACCTCACCTGAAAACCACGGCCGGAGGTCGGGCTGTGGCTGGAGTGGGGGCTAACAGTGCCGGCTGCGCAGCAGGGCTGGTGACGAAGTTCCCTCGCTGACTTCTGTCTCCTTCTCGCCCTGCTTGTCAAGAGCCCCCTTCAGATTTGCCCAGCCCGGCTTCCTCTCGCCCAAATGCCTTTTCAGCGCGGGCATTAAAGCAGAACTCGTACGCAGACTCGCCCTACGCGCTGGAATCATTCCTTACAGCTTTCAACGATAATGAATTGACAGGAATTCTAAACTGATTCCGACCAAAGGACACGGTGATAAAGCTGAATCTATTTCAGGACAAATTACATGTCAGAAGTTGATTAAAAAGCCACCTCTTTATCCAGCCCACAGCTTGGGGCTGAGACAACCTTGGGGCTCTGTCCTCCAGGCGGGCTGGCACAGGCCCGGCCCAACCTCCAAGGAGAGGCCTGGTTCCAGTCCCGGGCCCACCTCCCACGGCCCCGAAACCAGCCACAGACCGGGGAGGGGCTTCCCAGGGGAAAGCTGGCTCTAATACCAGAAGGGATGCCGTGGGTCACAACAGAGAAACGCACCTGTTTCAAGGTCTGTGAGGTGCAGAGCGCAGTCGAAGCCACCGCTGAGGATGCGCTGGCCGCAGGGAGACCACCGAGCAGCCCGCACCGCCTCACTGTGCAGAGAGTAGGTCTGCAGGCATCTCCCCGAGTCCACCGCGTTCCACACCTGCGGGCAAGCACAGAGCAGACGTCAGAAATGGGCCCTGCCTGCCCTAGCCGGTTTGGCTCTGTGGATAGAGCGTTGGCCTGCAGACTGAAGGGTCCCGGGTTCAATTCTGGTCAAGAGCACATGCCAGGGTTGCAAGCTCAATCCCCAGCAGGGAGCATGTAGGAAGCAACGGATTAATGATTCTCCCTCATCATTGATGTTTCTATCTCCCTCTCCCTTCCTCTCTGAAATCAATCAATATATATAAAAGGCTAATATGCTAAGTGTCCCTCCTACTGTCCAACTTGTCGCTATGACGCGCACTGACCACCAGGGGGCAGACGCTCAACGCAGGAGCTGCCAAGATGCAGTGACTTGGCAGTGGCGGTTCTTGAGTGACCCACCCCGAAACCAGAGAGGAGGGAGCCCGATTCCTCGCGGGGCCACGATTCCACCTTCGGCCATGGGTTATGTTGTTACTGGGGAACTGTCAGCCCCGAATCTGGTTTACTGCACACTTGCATTTGCGTTCCACGCCCTGTACAACAGCAACTTTGCAGAGTGCCCTCTCGCACTCCGGGACCCCTCGGGGGATGTCAGAGAGCCAGTTTTGGCCCAATCCCCGCAGGCCAGGCCAAGGGATCCCACCTGCCAGAGGGACCCCACTCACTCCACAGACAATGGGGAAGGACCACGGGAGGTTGGGTCCAGGGCGTGCCCAGCCCATCTCGCCCAGTCCCGCCTGCCAGCCACCTTCTAATTACTTTCCTTTCAATGTGCAGGAATCCGTGCACCAGGTCACTAGTAAAAATATATTTTTTAAAAATTATTTTTAAAAAAGAAATGGGCCCCGGCCAGGGAGAAGCGTCTTGCAGTGGAACTAGATTCCCTTCAGTTTACCATCAAACCAGATCTGGAGGCTAAACTTCTCCTGTATAAAGGTAAAGGCTTGGGGCTGGTGAGTTGAGAGGAAGCTTTTCCCAAAAACTTTTCTGGGGTTCAGGAAGCCCACAAGAAAACAGTATGCCCCACGTTCTGCTGCTCAGCTACACACAATCCCCGTTCTGTGCAGGCTCGCCTGCATCTCTGGCACCTCTCCTCCGAGACGGGACTCGCTCAGCCCTGTAGGGGACGCTGCACCAGGCCAGCCTCTCTTCATGGTCCTGCTTTAAGACCAAGAGCCGAACAAGAGCCTGTCACACCTGTGCTTACACGTCTGCCCGCGGGAGAGAAGGCACTGTCCCCATCCCCACCCTGGCTTTCCGCGGGGGAGTGAGGCCCGTGGCAGAAAGCCCCCGGTGCACTTGCTGACTTCTGACATACGCTACTGAGCCCTCAATATAAACTGTTCGTTCCAAGAGCCAGGGCCACAGGGTACATTGAGGGCCTGTGTTCAGCTGTCATCAGCTCGCCCAGGAAACTCCACCCGCCGCCACGGAGTCAGGAGAAAGGGCAGGCGTGCAGCCAGCCCAGGGCCTGGCCTCACCTACCACGCGCGGCTCCGAGGACTGAACACGGGAAGCAGGAAGAGCCCCTGCAGATCCCTGCAGCCGGCACGCGGGCGTCGGGCCAAGGGCCTCCATGCCGCTGGCCCTCGGGGCCGTGGTCTCCTCCTCCAGGAAGCGGGGATAAGACGAGCCCCACTCCGGGCAGTGGGGACCCTGCGGGCAGACAGCGGAGCCGCAGTGCTGGCAGCCTTGCTTCCTGGGGCTGGCAGGCACGCAGTCCTAGCAGCAGGGCTCCTGGACACTCTCTCAACAACACCCAGGAGCCCACACACACCCACAAACCTGACCCTAGAGAGAACCTCCCCTTTCACGATGAGAAAATTCATCCTGAAGCTTCGAAAGCACGTTTCCTGGGCTTGGAGGTCCAAGCGTAAGAAAACAAGAGGCCGAGAGCAGCCTTCCCAGAATGTTAAGAGAGCTCAGTCCCTTCTTCCCCCTAGGGAGCCAGGACCGGGCCTCAAACCGAAGAATCCCGAATAGCAGCATTGACATTCAGCAACATGGACAGGAACCCCGGGAGAAAGAGCCAGGGCTTTCAAAGTGGAGTGGATTCATGGCAGAAGGGCAGAGTCCAGGCAACTGCTGTTTGTTTTTCAATACTATGTACAAGTCTGACTTTAACAGAAAAAAAAAAATAAAGTAAAATTAATGAACTAAGATCCAAAGGCTAAACAGTAAAAAAATGAGTACACAGGCCACAGTGCTTATACATAGTACGATGCCATGTAAGTTTTAAAAACACACAAAACGCCACCTCACACCCATTAGGATGGCTACTCTAAAAAAAACAAAACAAAAAATAAGCGTTGGTGAAGTGGGGAGAATCTGGACCTTTGTGAACTGTTGGTGGGAAGGCAAAATGGTCCAACCTCAATGGAAAACAGCATGGCAGTACCTCAAAAAATAAACACAGTTACCACAGGCTCCAACCATCCCTCTCGTGTGCCCAGAGGAACTGGAACCAGGGTCTCCCAGGGGTGTGTGCACACAAATGGTCATAGTCACACTGTTCACCACGGCCAAAGGTGGATGCAGCCAAGGGTCCACCGACAGACGCACGGATAAACAAGAGGAGTCCATCCATACCGAGGAATATTACTCAGCCATAAAAAGGAAGGAGATTCTTTCACAGGCTCCAGCATGGATGAACCCTGAGAACATTGTGCTAAGTGAACTAAGCCAGTCACAAAAGACAAACAGTGTATGATTCCACTTCTCTGGAGTAGTAAAAACCACACAGGTGGACGATAGAAGGGTGGTTGCCAGTGGCTGGGGGAGGAGGGAGGGTATGGGGAGCTAGGTTGAAGAATAACATGCATTTTCTTTTTCTTGTTTTGTTAATCCTCACCCAGGATATTTTTCCATTGATTTTTAGGGAGAGTGGAAGAGAGAGGGAAAGACAGAGAGAAACATCGGTGTGAGAAAAACACATCAATTGATTGCTTTCTGCACAAGCCCCAACCAGGGCCCGGGCCGAGGAGGAGCCTGCAACCAAGGACATGCCCTTGACCGGAATCGAACCCAGGACCCTTTGGGCCAAAGACCGACACTCTATCCACTGAGCCAAACTGGCTAGGGCTCATGCATGTTCTTAACACACTGAACCATACACCTAAATATGGTTAAGGTGCTAAACTTTATGTCAGCTGTATTTCCACACAATTTTAAAAACACACATGAAGCAAAACTCTATCCTGTTTATTTGTGCATTTGCAGTAAGACTATAAAATATGCATGGATACAGTGGTCATTCCTGATAATGGAGGGAGAGGGGCCGGGTCGGGGGCAGGGAGCTATGAACACTACGCTGTCCTTCCCTAAAGAGAGGCAGAGAGAGAGAATATGAATCTGCTCTGAAGCAAATATGCCCAAATGTTGCAATCTATTAGACTCCTTCACTTATGCATTCATTCAGCAAACACTTCCTGAGTACCTATTAGCCAGGCATTGTTCAGCAGTAAACAAGGAAGACAAAGCCCCTGCCGTAGAGAATTTGCATTCTGGTGGGGTAGACCAGACACTGAACAAGATGAACCAGCGGGATCTATGTAGTGTTTAAGGTGGTGGTGACGCCTGGCATTCTAAGTAAGCGGGAAAAGGAGGCGGGGCTGGAACGATGGCCAGGCAGGGCCTCTCGGAGGAGGTGACTTGAGGAAGGAGCTACACAGAACCTGGGGCAAGGACCCTCCAGACGGGCCCACTCTGGCTGCCGTGCAGGGAGGAGAGCGAGGAACCAGGGAGACACGAGAAGCGTCTGTGATCACCCAGGGCGAGAGGAGGATGGCTTGGCCCAGTTGGAAACGGGGAAGAAGTGGCCTTGCTTGGAAGGTAGAACCAACCTTGGCTCGGAGGTGCGGCAGGAGGGCACGAGAAAAGTCCAGGACAGTCCTTGGTTCTGGCCCGAGCACCCAGAGGAAAGAGGTGGCAGGGGTGTGTCTGATGAGAGGAGTGGCAACTCTGGGGAGGACCAGGAGCTCAGTTTTGAATGACAGAGAGGGAGCGGGCAGCTGGATGCGTGAGTGTGAGGTCCAGGGTGGAGGCTGAGCTTTGGGGGTCCCTGTCACTGACGCCGTTTCAGTCACACACTGGAATAAATGTAGACAGAGCAGGGAGGAGGCCCAGTGTTCACAGGCAGGGGCTCGAGGAGGCTAAGGAGAAACCACAGGAGGAGTCTGAGAAGGAGAGGCCTGTGGGGCGGGAGAAGCAGCAGGAGACGGTGATCCCTCCTGGAAGCCAGGGGAAGAGACAGCACTGGGTCCCATGCTGCTGGCACGGTGGTCAGAGGAGATCTGGACCGGACCCTGAATTTTACCACCTGAGTCGTGGGTACCCAGGTGTCTGCAACGTCACTTTCTAGACTTTTGATTATGTTTAAAATATTTCATAATGTATAATGTTAATGGAGAGGAAGAAGAGGAGGAAGAGAAGGGCAAATAGGAAGAGAGAGGAGGGATGAAGGAAGGAGAAGAAAGAGGAAGAAGAAAAGAAAGCAAAGGGATGGGAGGAGGGAGGAGAGGGAAAAGGAAGAGAGAGGAAAGGAGAGGGGAGGGGAGGGATGGGAGCAGAGGAGGAGCGGAG